CCCCACCCCACACCGCACACCCCACCCCCACCGGGGCCCACCCCCCACCCCCCACGCCTCACCCCCCACCCCCACCGGGGCCCACCCCCCACCCCCACCCCCCACCCCCACCGGGGCCCACGCCGCCGCGCCCCACACCCCACCCCCCACCCCCACGCCCCACCCCCCACCCCCACCGGGGCCCACGCCGCCGCGCCCCACACCCCACCCCCCACCCCCACACCTCACCCCCTACCCCCACCGGGACCCACGCCGCCGCGCCCCACACCCCACCCCCCACCCCCACGCCCCACCCCCCACCCCCACCGGGGCCCACGCCGCCGCGCCCCACACCCCACCCCCCACCCCCACACCTCACCCCCTACCCCCACCGGGGCCCACGCCGCCGCGCCCACCCGCCCTCAGCAGCTGCGGGCGGAGGCGGCGATGTTATACATCACGACCAACGGGCGGCCTGACAAATAGGCCCGTGTGATCTGGATGGTATATTACCCCATAAAGCCGTCAGCGGGCAGCAGAGCGCCGCCCCCTCCGGCCGGCCCCTCCGGACCAGACGCGGTGCCGGGAGCAGGCAGCGGGGCCGGGGGGCCGGGGAGACGGGGAGACCGGGAGCCAGCACGGGCGCGGCTCCCGGGAGGCCTCCCGCGGGCGGCCCCACGGGCAGGTGGTATGGCAGGAGCCAGAGTGGGGAGCCGGCCGGCCTGCAGAGGGCCCTGTCCTGGTGTCCGTGGGCCCGAGGCGCCCGATGGCACCACGCACCCACCAAGAGGGAGCCCTGCCCCCGGGGGTGAGGCTGCGCAGGGGGCACCCCAAGGCGGAGCTGGACTTCCCAGGGGACCCCCTGGGCAGATACTGGCCCTGCCTCCCAGGCGCCCCCGGGCGGTGGGCCCTCTGAGGCGGCGCCGAAGGTCGCAGCACTGCAGTGGGCTGGGGCCAAGGGTGGGCAGAAAGCCCCGGGGACTCTGCCCCTAGGGCGGGTGCGTGTTTGGGGGCCTCTATTCAGATATTTACGGTAGGGAGGAAGCCAGGCGGGCTGGGCCTCTTCCAGGAGGGAGAGCGCCCCCCAGCACTCATTCCCAGGGCACTGGCTGCCCTCCTCTGGGCTTGGGAATTCCCAGGCTCAGACTCTGGAGGTGGACCAGGGCATTCTGGGAAGTGTAGTCCTTTGGGAGTTGGAGGGCCTTTATGGGAGCAGCTGGGGGAGGAAGTGGAAGGCTCCTGGGGGGGCCCCCCGGGGCCAGCACCGGGCCTGCAGCCGCCGAGCGCCAGCGGCCGTCTGGGGCGTGTTTTGGTGGGGAGACCAGGGAACTCCCCAGAGGGAGGATCAGGCCACGGTGCCGAGCCCGGCCTCCTGTACCTGCTGCCCCGGCCCCCGGGCAGGGAGGCCCGCCGGGCACAGAGGCTGGCTGAGGCTCACAGCCCTCCGACGACATGTGTAAGTTGACGGTGAACATCCTGTCAACTCGCCCGAGTGTATCCTGACGGTTCGCACACACTCTTAAAGGTGTAGCATCATTTATCAAATTAACCTCGCCGCGCCTGGCCTGTGCTTGCCCACCCTCTCCCCTCCGCCTCCCGGGCACCCTGCCTGGCACCGGGGTTCGGGGAGACACGGTCCCTGCTTCCAGGGCCCACCGCTCAGGTGCCACCTTCCCGCCTGCCCCAGGCCGGGGCAAGCCCACTAATTGCCACGAAGTGACAAATGCCAGAAGCCCCACCAATTAAGTTTGAACGCACGCAAAGCTCGGTGGCCAGTAAGTTATTATTTTTATTAGCTGGAGCCGAGTTCCCGAAAGAGGGAGGCAGCCGCTCCCATGAATGGCTCCTGTATAATTTATCTCGCGCGGCCGGCCGCGCTGCCAGGCCCGGCGTATTTTTAGCCGGCTCTGTTGTTGGGTTTGGCTGTTTTATGTGTGTTTCGGAGGTATTTTTAGCCTCGTCCATGTTATGCTAACAGCCTCCTATGTGTTGTGTCCTGTCTGTGCGGCTGCTGAACCCTGTCTCGCAGCCGAGCAGCCGGCCGAGATTTCTAAGAATAACCGGGAGCCCGCCCGGGGCGCGCTTCCGCCGGCCACTCCTGCCTCCGGCGAAGGTGCCCGCGTCTCACGTGGCCGGGAGGTTCCTTCGGGAGAGCCCTCCCCGAGAGGCCATCGGACCGGGCACAGCCCGCGGGGGACAGCCCGGCGGCCGGAGCCCTGGATTCCCTGGGGGGGGGCCCTCGGCGGGCGCTTTGAAGTCTGGCTCTGTCCCCGGCGAGCAGGGGGGGGCGGGGGGGGCGGGGTCTCGGAAAGCCGCTCTTTTCACACCTCCTCAGCGTGGGGACACACTCGCGCCGCCGAGTTAATGAGGTATTTACGAAAATGTACTCTTTCTCCCTCAAAAAAAAAAAAAAAAGCTGAGGGGGCGGGGAGCCCTCTGACAGGGTCTCTTCTCACCAGGACACTCTTTCCCCTCCGGCCGCCTCCTCCGGGCGCCTGCAGTCACCCTCCTGGGGGGGCACACGGGACGAGCCCCCTGTTTACGCCGCCAACACCCCGGCCCAGGGCGCTGGCTTCGCCATTCGCACCCCAACGGGGGCAGGAGGCGGGAGGCCCCACCTGCAGCCAGACCCGGCTCCCGCGGGCGCCCCCGCCTCCCGGAGCCCCGCATTCCCAAAGGCTGGCCCCTGGGCGCAGGGGAGGGGCAGGGTGGGCGGACGGGGAGAGGGTGACCCCGGCACCCAGGGAGCCGCGGGGCCTCGCAGGATCCTCCCGCGGGCGTCTGCACACGCAGAGCCAACGGCGCTGAGACGGCCCGCGCCCATCGCACCTCTCGGGGACACGGGGGTCCGACGGGAAGCCATGGCACTTTCATTTTTAGGGACGAGGCGCTGGAGCCCCACGGCCGGTCCCTCGGGCTGCGGCGCGGAGAGCAGGGTGGGGAGCAGGGAGAGCAGGCCGGCGGCCGCAGGGACCCCGGCCCAGCCAGGCCGGCCCGAGCCCTCGGAGCCAGAGCCCTGTCTCCCGGCTGCCCCCCTCCCCTCCCCGCTCCGGCCTGGCCGAGGGGAGGAGCAGCGGCCTGGGCCACCGAGAGGGACAGGAAGTCCCCCTCCCCAGCCATCTGGAAACGCGGACACGAGATGTAAAAAATACCGTTTTCACGTAAGAATGCTAGTTTTTCTCTACCCCCGCTCCCAGACAAACCCAGACAAGCACCAGGGGCCGAGGGCACGATTCTTTTTTTAAAACAACGGTGTCGTTAAATTTCAGAAACGACACAGCCTTCCGCTTCCCCGCGATTCGAAAGCCGTTCCAGGGGCAGATGCTTCTCGGTGGACACACTGTCCCGGTCCGGGCACAAACGGCTGAGGGTCGCCGAGCACAATAGGTCTCTCCAGTCGGGGGGGGGGGGGCGGGGGGCACATGCCCCACCCCCGTGACCTGGGGGCCTCCAGCGCCCTCCCAGCACCCTGCCTACGGGGGAGGCCAGCACCACCCCATTTCCCCAAACCCGCCAGGCCTGGCTCCAGGAACCACGTGGTCAGACGTGCAGTGAGCGAGACAATGGTTTGGGCCCCGCGACCACATTCCCCTGACTCACATGGAGACGGGGCCCAAGGAGGAATGGGCGAAGCAGGACTGGGCCAGGCGGCAGGGTCTGGACCCAGGGAGAGGGAATCCGGTCACCCCACGCCACCCCACGCCACCCCAGGGATGGCCCGGCTTGCCCGTGCACTACCCAGAAAGCCTGGGTGCTGAGGGCTTTCGGACCCTTGTTTTCAAGGTGCTTGTCCCTGCCAGGCCAGAGGGGAGGGCTGGGGGAGAAGAGGGTGAGGAGGTGAGGGGGGTGAGGGGTGAGTGGTTCGGGGGAGAGGCAGTCCCTGCTTCCATCCTCCGCCTGCAGGCCCAGCCTCCATGCTGCCTCCAGAGAAGGGCTGAGTGGGAAGCTGGCCACTGCCCCCACCCCCCTCGGACCCGGGCGAGCTCTCTTTCCAGTTACACATCCGGCGAGGGGACGGGAGAGGGAGCGGGCAGGCGGGAGGCTGGCTGGCGGGACGGGGGCCTTTGGAGCCTCCCGCCGCCGGGGCCGCCGGTGACGGAGCCGCGGCCTCTCTCTCCGGGAAACGGACGTTTCTCCCGGGGCCGCTGCTTCCGACAGGCCGTCCGCGGCCGCCGCTCCATCCTAATCCAGCGCTAATTGTAATCCCATTAAGGCTGATATAATTTTATTAGCATTCACAGTTCATCAGGCCAGCAAGGAGGACGCTCCTGCCAAATTAACCACCGCGGACGCCGATGTTTACAACAAACTGTCACCAAACCAGCCGCCTCCAGGGTGACCCGTCCCCGCGCCGCTGCCAGCTCCGCGCCGGGCCTGGGACCCGCTGCGCCTCCTCCGCCCCGGAGCCCCGCTCCCCGCCCCGGAGCCCCGCTCCCCGCCCCGGAGCCCCGCTCCCCGCCCGGAGCCCCGCTCCCCGCCCCGGAGCCCCGCTCCCCGCCCCGGAGGGCGCCCGGCCAGGGGCAGCTCCGCCGGCCGCCCTGCGGGAGGGCCCTCTGGGCGCGGGCGCCGCGCCTCCTCGCTCCCCGGAGCAAAGCGCCCGGAACCCGCCTCCAACCGCCAATGACTCCCGCCGACTCGCCTGCACCGAAATCAGGGCGCCCCGCCCCGCGGAGCCGCCGCCAGAGCGGGAGGCCGGCCCGGTTAGAGCGAAGCAGCCGCCACCCCTCCGCCCCACACCCGCGCCCCTTCACACAGACCGGGCGCCCCGCCCCGCCGGCCCGCGGAGCGCCCTCGGTGCGCCCGAAGGTCTCGGCCGGGAGGGAGTCGCCGCGGCTTCGGCTCCGGGAGCGGGCGGGGGCGCAGGGGCCGGGCTGCCCGGGAGAGGACTCGGGGCGGCCAGGGCCCGCGAGGGCCGTGTGCGCGGCCGCGGGGCGGGGACTGCGCTCGCCGGGCAGCCCCGCGCCGGAGCCGGGAAGCGAAAGCGAAGGCGCCGGGCACCCTCCGCCGGCCCCGGGACTGACCTGCGTGCGAGGCCATGGGCAGCGGCGGCGGGAAGAACTTTCCGGGCGGGAAGGGCGCGGCGGGCTGCGCGGCGGCGGCGCTGCGGTGGCCCAGGCTCCCGCGCTCCGGCAGCAGATGCGGCGGCGGCGGCGCGAAGTCGCGGCCATCCATGCCGGGCCCGGCCCCGGCCCGCCGCCTCCCGGGAGCAGCGCGGCCGGGGCCCGGGGCGGCTCGGGGCGCGGGCGGCGGCGGGGCCGGTCAGCAGGCCGGCGGGCTGGGCTCCCCGGCGGGCGGCCGTGCGCCGGGCCGGCGGCCGCCGTGCGGGTCCATGGTCTGCGGAGGGAAGCAGAGGAGACTCGTCAGCGGAGGCGGGGCCCGTCCCCCGACCCTGCAGCCCCCGAGCCCGCCAGGCCCCGCGCCGGGCTCCCCGCGCGCACGCACCGTCCCGGCCGCGCTCGGCCCGGAGCCCGGGGAGCCCGGCGCGGCCCTCGCCGCTTCCCTGCGCGTCCCCGCGGGTCCCTGCGGCGAGGGCGCCGCGGCAAAGGCTGCTGGCTCCGCGGGCGACAAGCCCCAAATCTGCGGAGCCATCGCGCGCGCACTCACACTCACACTCACACTCACACACACACCCTCTACTCACACTGTCACAATCACAGACACACACACAGACACACACTCACAATCACACACACACACTCTACACACACTGTCACAATCACACACAGACACTCACACACTCACACTCACAGACACACACACCCTCTACTCACACTGTCACAATCACACACAGACACACACACAATCACACTCACACTCACAGACACACACACACACACCCTCTACTCACACTGTCACAACCACAGACACACACACAGACACACACTCACAATCACACACACTCACACACACTCTCAGTCACACACACACACACACACTCAAACACACACAGACACAGACACACACACACACCCTCCCCTCTCCCCTCCCCCGCCGCCCGGAGGCTCCGGGGAAGGTCCGGTTCCGCGCGGCGAGTCTGGTTCCCCGCGTCCCCCTCGCCGAGAAGCCGCGCTAATTAAGCGAGTAATTTTATTGATTGTAACTCAGTTTTTTTATAACCTCCCGCTTCTCCCCTCCCCATCCCCCACGCACCTTCCAGCTCCTTCTTTTGAACTCACCGCCCCCTCCCCCCGCTCCGACCGGGCCAGGCCCCGCGCCCGGACCCGGGCCGGCTCCCTCCGCCCCGTCCCCCGCGTCCCCAAGCCCGGGCTCCCCGGCGAGGCCCGAACCGTCACCCCGCCCGCCGGGCCTTCCCCCGGGCCGGGCTCCGGGCGGAGGGCACCGATTACTCCCTCTCCCGGCGCCACCGCAGCCGCGGGCTCCTTCCTCCCCGGCGCCCGCTCTGGGCTCCGGGCCTGCGCCGCTCTCCCCGGCCGCAGAGCGGCGGCGGGACCTGGAGACTCTCCCCTTGGAGACTCCGTGGGGCTTCCGGGGTCACCCCATCTCCTCCGGGCAGGGCCCCCACAACGCCCCCTCCCGCCTCCCCCGCCGGAAGCGGGGCGTCCGCTCCGGGGCGCACACGGGGCAACGGGGCCGCGGAGCGAGCGGCTGGAGGCGCCGCGCCACGTGGGCTCCGGGATGGCGCGCGGCCCGGTCCCCGGAGCCGCATGGTTGTTTCCATCGCCGCCAACAAAGGGGCTTCGCCGGGACCGTGCGGGACGCCGGGGTGTCCGGGCCGCCGCCGCCCCCGAGCGGCCGGGCCTCCGGGGCGCGGGCCGTGCACATCGCAGCGCGGAGGCCGCGGGCGCTCGCGTCCTGCTCGCAGGCTGTTTCTGTGTTTGATCTAATCCACGACCGAGAACACCGAGTATGAAGCGAATACATATTTGCTCAGCTGATAAGCTTTTTAATATTTATTCGGAGAGCTTTGGCATTGTCACCTAACGCGCCCACACAGTCTCTTTGTCTCTCCATCCACTTCGCACAAAGGGCTCGGCGCCCTCTCCTCTGGGATCGCGGCCGCGGTCCCGGGTCCAACAAACCGCGCGCCGCCGCCGCCTCTCGGCCTGCCCCGCCCGGGCCGCCGGCCTCCGGAGCGGGCGCGGGGCGGGCGGGACAAAGGGAGAGGGAGGGCGGAGGGGGGTCCCGAACCTGCGGCCCGCAGGCGCCGTGCCGGAGGGGCTGCGTGCCTGGGCTTTTGTTTGGGGAGATTCCTTGTTTCCGATAAAAATGTTCCACCCCGTCCCGGGAGCGCGGGCCGCTCCGCTTCTCGGGACGCGGGCTCCGCCGCCCGCAGCGGCGTGAACCCCAACTCCGGCGGACCCCTCCGCCAGCCGGGAGTCCGCACGCGGCGGGCACTGCGGCCGCCGGATGGGCTTTCCTTTGTGTCCTCGGCTCCCCTGACAGCGCGGCCGCCGAGGCCTGCGAGCCGGAGCCGCCACCCGCGGTCCCAGGGTCCGAGCCCCCGCCCCCGCCCCCGCCCCGCCCCCACCCGGAGGCCGCCGCACCGACAGACTCGGCCCGTGGAGCCGCAGCCCGCGCCGCCGAGGGCGTTTTGTAAGAACCGGATCCGGAACCCGGTGGCGGGCGAGGACTCCGGAGCCGACCGTCCCTTCTTCCCGTGGCGCGCGGCCCGGGATGCGGGACCCCCCGGGTTTGCTCTGACCGTAACCTGCGCCCCTCGAAGCCGCCCTCGCTCCGGCCTCCCCGGAGGACCGGGACCCCCTCGGTGGGCTCCCGGCGCCGCCCGCGGGGCCTGCGGGCTGGGCTGGGGCGGCGCCGCCGAGAACCCGCTCCCTGCGAAACGGCCGCCCCCGCCGGCGTCCAGAGCGGCTCCGCGCTGCTCCCCGCGCTCCGGCCGCAGCCCCCGCCCCGCAGGCCGGGCCGAGCCCTCGCTGCCCGGATCGCGGCCGCGAAAAGGACCCGCGGCGCCGGCCTCGCTCCGCTCCCTCCTCCGTCCTCACCGCACACCCTCCCCCCGAATTAAGATCTGGAAACCGAAACCCGGAAACCTCGCCATTCTCCGCCCTCGCCCCGCACCGAGCCGCAAAGCCCCTCCGGTCAGCGGCCGGGTCCCTGCGCCCCGGAGCGGCCGGGGGGGGGGGGGCGACCGGGATGCGCTGGGGAGGGGACAGGGTGGGGGGGCAGACAATCGGGGTTCGCTGGCGGTGCCGCCGGAGCCGGCGCGCGTTGGCGGCGCCCGGGACCTCGGCGACTGTCCAGCCGCGGCCGCCCGCGCGGTTCGCGTGGGACGCAGCCGGCCCGCCGGTCCCTGTCCTGTCGCGATTATTTATTTTTAATGCTGGGTGTCGATCGAGACAACGAGCGCTCAGAGCAAAGCAAGGACGCGTTACGGGGTGGGGGGTGGGGTTAAAACCGATCGATAAAATTTTTCAGAGGAAAAAAAATCGCTCTTATAGATTGTCCATCTTTAAAAAAAAAAAAAAAACCTGCTCGACATTCTAACGGATTTTTTTAAAGGGAAGAGACATATATATATTTCTTAACATCACAACCCTGATTCTCTCTTGCTTAAAAGTGTAAATCCCCAAAGCCAAAATAAAAAATAAAAATAAAACAATAAAAATACCAAAAAAATTAAAGCAATTTCAGTTACTTACTGGAGGCTGTTTCCTGGACACAATTGAATGCAATACAATGAGCCCAGTAAATGTGACTGTTTTGTATTCCTATCGGTATTTTCAGTGTGCTGACTGGCGCTGTGAGCGCAGCGCTTCCACCTCGGCTCCTGCGAGCCCATCCAGAGCGGCTCTCCGCCCGCAGCCGCCCGCCGGCCGCCGGCCCTGCATACTAATAAGCTCGTGCCATCGGCCCGCGCAGCCCGCGCGCTGATTGGCCGCGCGGCCCTCGGCGGCCGGGAGCTCGTGCCACTCATTCCGCGTAAACAGGCCTCCCCATAGGCTGGCGCCGGGCCAGCGAGCTGCCAATCAGGGAGCAGCAGGGCTACTACCGAGCCCGTTGGCGCTTAATTCAAGCCGGGCCACTGCGCAGCTCCCTCTGCGCAGATCGCTGCTGCTGAATGGGAATGTGGCGGCGCGGGCGGGAGGGGGAGCGGGGCGAGGGGAGCGCGTGTCCGTGCGGGGGGGAGGGGAAAGAAGGGTTGTTTTTGTGCGGGGTGTGTGTGTGTGTGTGTGTGTGTGTGTGTGTGTGTGTGTGTGTGTGTTAATGGGACCCAGTAGGTCTCACGTTTGGCTTCTGGTGCACAAAGTCCAGGAGCAGAAAAAGCAGCACCCTCTGCAGCAGATGCTTTTTTTATACCTGGGATCCGCTGAGCAGGTGGCTGGATCCAGGCACAGGTAGGCCCCAGCTCCCGGCACAGAGGATTGATTCCTCGGGATCCCCGGCCCTCCCACCACTCAGAGACCCCCGCCTGCTCGGACAGAGCTCAGACCTCCTTGCAGCCCTGCGGGCGGCCTGGTCTACTCTGGTCCCCCCTACCCCCGCGCCCGGGAATCAGACGGGGGGCGGGGGGTGGGGGGAGAGTCCTGTCATCTATCTGCGGACTCTCCGTTTTTTATCTCGCTCAACTTTGCAACGGAACACAGATCAAAATGTAAACCGAGGATTTATGGCCAAGACAAAGATTGCCCTTTTTTTCATCTGCAACTAGACTTAGAAAAACATGCCCACCTTCATACGCACGGAGTGAAAAACCCGGGCACAATATTCTCCATGCCATTCTCCTGAAATTCCACTAAATTATCGCCCCAGTTAAAAAAAAAAAAAAGCCACTGAACCATTATCTTCATCGTAATCATAGGCAAACCACTTTTAAAAATATTCTCCCACAAGGAAAAAAAAACACAAAAAATAAAAATGTTCTCCAACGAAATGCTATTTATTCTTGGGAGTCAAGGTGATGTCTGAGTGGCGATGGGTATATTATTTTTACTTCTCCTTCTACGTGTGAGTCTCTTCCTCCCCTCTGGGGGACAAAAAAAAAGCATATTTAACCTCCACAGAAAGGCTGCCCGGCTCACTCCGGCGGGGCCGCGAAGGGGTTAAGCTGGGCCTGCTGTTGTCTCCTTCCGATCCCGGCCCCGCCCGCTCCCCCGGGGCCGCGGGATTGGCTGGCGCCGCGCCAGCGGACTGTCCATCACCGAGTGTAAACAAGGCGCTGATTGGCCGCGGTCCAGGCGGCACCAGGCCCCGAA